GCCCATGACAGGGAGCCAGCAGAGTCCTGCAAGTTTGAGGCACAGGGTGGCTTTGGGATAAAGAAGCTGTCACAGTGACAGGGTGGGCGGTTTCCCAAAGGTGAACAAGGTTTCCAGGATAGACAAAAGGAGCTCCACAGCTGGGTTGGGAAGAGCTGAGTCCTTTCTCCAAACACTGTGTTAGGCCACGTGCTGGAGTTTGAGCACAAGCTGGGCAGTAACACATGCAAGGGACTGGAATGCTTGCACAGCATCTTTGAACAGTACTGGGCCTGCAGCTCACCCTGCGGCACCCAGACTCTGTGGGGTCCAACAGGAAGGGAAGAGCTCTCGCAACTGCATTCAGATTCTCCTTAGACTCACCCAAGCATCCACCATGTGTCCACTGGTGTCTGAGACCCAGGGCCAATTTGGGCCCTTGCTATCATTGCTGTTGGCCAGGACTGTTTCATACAATGCCCTGGCACCTCCGTGTGCTAATCCAGTTTTTGTGATTGATGAAAAGCAAAAATCTTGACCAAAAAACACGTTTGCTTGCAACCTCATTGCCATAGTAACGGAGGTCCTGAGGACACCTCTGAAGTAGGTCACCATGGACCCCATTTTGCTGCATCTCCCAGCATGGCATGGCTCCAGAAGCAGGGTGCACCCACCACAGTCCAGCCAGGCATCACCCTGTCATAGCCCAAATCTGCTCAGGAAAGGCCAGGCTGTAAAACTGCCTCTGGTGACAGCACCCAAGGGTGCCAAGGGCTATCCTGACCTGATCACGGGAAACTTCTGTCCCTTCCTGCTGCCCCCATGCCAGCTTGTGGTGTCCCCCAAGTCAGGGCTCCCTTCCATCCTCCCCTCTCCCCATCCCCCACCTCCTCGCTGCCTCCCTCCCCCTTTTCCCCCAGCGCCTCTCCTCCTGCTTTGCATAATTTTCCATTTTCAGTGTCCCCTTTTCTTTCTCTCCTCTCCATATGGTGCGTCCCCCTCTCTGCCTGGCGCTGGAGCCATCCTTAACAAGCTCGGCAAAGCCCTCTCTCTCAGGGGCTGCACATGAAAGATGCTCTGTAAAAATAGAGGCTGGGACAGAGCTCCCCCTTTTTTTCCCCCTTGATTTATATGGGGCTGGGATGTGGGAACGTTTCTGAGTCTCATTTTAGAGCCGCCGGGTGCTCGTGCTTGTTCTCTCCGGCCATTCAGTGCAGACCCCCAAGGCCATCTCGTCCCCAGCCTTTGATCTGCAATGCAGAAAGAGTGGCTGGGGCAAGTTTGTGCCTCTCATCCCACCCTTGCCCTCATTTTGGCTGGCAGGGAGAGATGCCCTCTCCTGCTGCACCAGGGAGAGGCCATGCCCTTTCCTCTCGGTGTCTGGTGGTCTTTTCCAGCTGGCTATTTTGGCTCCCTCCTACATCCTTGGTGCCATGAGGACCTTCAGTCTCACCAGGTCTCACCAGGCTGGGTCATGGTGAAGCAGCGGGTCATGGGATTTGTGATACAGAGCGACTCTGCACATCTAACCTACCACTGCCCCTCTCCAGCTCCACCATGGATACTTGCCAGTGAGCACCCAGGGTTGAGTGGAGGGTGCCGGGGCTGAGCAAACAGCGCTGGGGCTGGTGATGGCTGCCCAGCATTTGATGGGTTAAGCTGGTCTCCAGCTAATTTCTCCCAGCAGCTCCCCTCCTCCTCCTCCTCGTACTTCTGTATGCAGCAGGCAGGGCCTCAGCGCAGGTTCCTGCACTGAGCTGTTGCCAGGGGAGTAGTTAGGCGAGTCTGAGCTATGTGGGGAAAAGGCCCGGGCTGTCAAAGTGTCTGAGATGAACCATAGCCCGGTCCCCCTGCAGCTGGGCCCAAGCATGCATCAGCCCTTGTTTGGAGCCTGGGAATGGCAAAGCCCAGGGAGGTTCAAGGGCAAACTTGCTATTCATTAGTCAGGGGTCCTTGACGTTCCCACTCTCTGTCTCCCTTCTTCTTCTTCTTCTCTTTTCTGTCCCTCTTTTGACAGATTCCTGGGTGCTTTTGGGGAAAACTCCCCTCCTCCTCCTCGCCCAAGCAAAAGCCCTCCACATAAACTTCCCCAGCAGACAAGGCAGGAGGACAATAACGTCAGGGCCACGATGCAAACGAGGACCAGCGGAGCAGCCACGTCCCCCGGGTGTCCTTTCTCCCTGGTCCTTCCTGCGCTGCCGCGGGAGAGCCGACGCATTCATTTCACTCATCTTGCCCATCGCCGATGTTTTATTATCTTGATGCTTGCAGGAAATTGTAACTTGAGATAAGGAAAATGTCAGCCGCCTTCTCCTCTCTCCTGTAGCCCAAAGCGCTGGGAAGTTCCTCCGTAGGAAATGTAAATGCTTGCCCAGGTGCAGAGGATGAGCACGAGATGGAGGGAGCCTCGAGAGGCCGTGTGAGCATCTCCGCCAGGAGATAAAACTCGCAGCGTAGGCGTAACACGGAGCCTCCCTCCCACCCCGCTGAACGGAATATTTCATAGCTCTTAGAAGCCGAAGCTCCCTTGTAATTATCCAAAGCAAACAGCACGTGTTATTAGTTTAAAATGATTTTTTTTTCCCCCTCCCCGGGCCCCTGGAGCAGAATGGAGGTGTAATTGTGCTAAGGAGTTAGCAGGGGAGAGCACAGCTTTTGGTCACATTCAAGTTGGAGGGCTTGAGCCAGGGAGGCTGGTATGAAAGGCTGGTATTTGCATAAGCAGCGTGCATCCCTACAAAAAAGAAAGATATCAGGGGCTTGCAAAATTCAATCAAGGCTGGGAGGGAAGAAAAAAAAAAAAAGGGAGGGGTGGAAGGGGGGGGTGGGGAAATTGACAGTGAAAAAGGTTTTTCTAAGTAACACCCTGGCGAGATTAAATTGTCCAGAAAGTTTCTCCGTGTGAGCCGGTGAAGCGGAGGCTGGGCTGAGGGCAGGGGAGGAGCGGGGTCCCTCCTTCCTGGCCTCAATAGGGGATAGGAATCTGATTAGGCAGAGTGTTCTGCATCCATTTACCATTATTTGAGGGTGTTTTTTTTCCCCTTCCCACCGTCCAGAATTGCTGTGGCGGGGCAGTTTGTCAGCTTATAAACCTCAGTGCTGGCTTTGTAAGGACACAAGGAGGCACAGGAGCAAGTCTTGGGGCAGAGGCTGAACTGTAATTTCAATTATTTATGCATTGCTTTTTTAAAAAAGAGTGATAATAATTCCACATGCTAGTTTGTGGGATATTTTCCCTGCGCTGGGCATTGGGGAGGGAAGGCAGCATTGGGCTGGGATCAGGTCGTGATGGAGCCCTATCTTTGCAGGCACCCACAGTGCTAGGCTGAACTCTGACTATAGAGAAAGTGCGTGCAGGAGATCTGGGCTTTCCTAAAGCTTATGTCAAATCATTTGGGTCAGACCATCCCCTCCTTCCCTCAGTTACTGAGTGCCAGAAGCTGCAAACCCACCAGGCAGGCAAAGGGTAATTTCCAGAGTGGGTTGGTATCTGGTACCAAGGAGCATCCTCTCTATCTTCACCACAGTGGAGTTTCTCTGTAAGCCACAGCCAGCTCACTCTGTGCCTGCAGAAGGCAAGGAGCTTTACCTGCCAGGTAAAGGCTTTTCCCTGGTGAGCACAAGGGTTCAGCCTCCTCCTCCTCTCCTGGGCTTGCAAAAGCACCCACCACCATTCAGATCTCATCTGCCCTGACCTCAGCATCCTTACCAGCCTTGGGGTGACATTGGGGATGACTCCTGATCTCACATAGGATAAAGAAGGTGCTGAGCCTTGGCTTCTTGCAGCCTGCGTCTCCCTACACGCATGCCAGCATGAGGTCCCTCCTCTCAGCACCCTAATTCTCCAGAGACAGTCTTTCGTCCTTCCCCAAACACATGCACATGGAGTGGGTTTGGCCTCTGCCTCTCTTAAGTTTTAGACTTGCTTCAAAGTTGCGAAAAGGAAGGGATTTTCCTTGGATTTCCATCAAGTGCTTTATGAATATTGCAATAAAGGGGTTACAGAAGATCTATTTTTAAGAGAGAGAAAAAATACCCATGAAAATTGCAGCCTGGACCCCAGAGTGTAGAGTATTTGCACAGTTCAAAGAGTTACGGTGGTTCATCCAGTCACAGCCCGGGAATGTCGTGGTGCGACCTACAGCAGATCACATGCCGGCTACTCCCAGGGCGGCTCATTAGAGAGCCACACAGAAGATTTATCTCTTAAAATGGGCTTGCAAATATTTTATAAAATTTGCAATATTTTATAAAATTACAATTTGGTGCAATAGAAAGAATAAATTAGCCAGCTGATGGTTCCTTTTGCACTCTGGATCCAAGTGTGCTCAAGGATTAGTTATATTACTCTTTACCCCTTCCAATGTAACAGTTTATAGGCAAAGCAAAGCAAGAACAGCAAAAGGATGGGACTGGTTTGGGGGCTAGGGAATATACCCTCAACATCAGTAAAGTGTAAAGGAAATGGAGAAAAAAATCAGGAAAAAGGGATGAGAACGTGCTGCAAGGTGTGAGGTGTGTGGGGCAAAGCACGGGAGGTGCAGGGAAAGCTGAGAAGGGGACTTCTGCTGAGTGTCACAGCTTTGGCTCCAGCTCGGTGTCTTGGTATCACTTTCTCCAGCCAGGCAAGGGCGCCGAGGGCAGGGAAAGTTAACACGAAGATTAAAACATCAGAGGGCTGTGCCTTTAGTGGCTCTGACATGCAGAGTAATCCCATGCCCCAAAGCCTAGGGAGGAAGGACAAGCGGTGAGCCCTCCCCTGGCTGGTGGTGTGCGGGGCAGGCAGAGGTAGAGGGTTGAGGAGGGCGCAGGGTAAGCTCGGTGTCTTGAGGACCATGGTTTTCCCAGTTGGGAAGGGGGAAAAGTGGGCCAGAGCTGTGAGAAATGTGTGGTGAGGAGGGAAAGAGTATTGGAGTTTCACACCATCAGTGAGACAAGTTGGTCTGTTCTCAACTGAGCGCTGTTGGACCGTTTCCCTGACAGAGGTCGTAACCACTCCATTTTTTTTCTTTCCTTCCTAGATCCCAGTGAGTGGAGAAGGGATTTTTCAAGCCTGTGGGTTCCTTTTCGCTGTTGGCTACTACCTGCCCGGACTTGCCACCTGACTTCTTCAAGTTTCTCCAAGAGGGTCTCAACTGCTTCTCCATTGACCCCAGAGAGGAGGCAGCTTTGACTCATGAGCACAGCGGGTTTCTGCATCACTTCGAATCACGCCAGTCCACCCATGGGGAGGGAGCCAGGGAAACACAAGGGATCATCCCACATCACTCCTGTACGTTGCCTTCAGTGCCCTCAATACCCCTGAGCAGGACCAAAGCGCTTAGACAGAGAGACCCAAGCCAGTCACTGTGACACCTGGTGAAATACCAGGTGTGTGTGAAGATTGGAGGGAGCTTTTAGCCCCCAGCTTTGCTCATGGAGCAGAGCTTGGCCCTTGCTGCTCTTAATCCCTGGGTCTGTGGAGCTGTGGGAGCGCAGCCTTCCCGAAGGCGCTGTGCTTGTGGCTCGGAGGACCATGAGCCTCTCCAGGCCAGACAGCCCTGCTGCTGTTGTACTGCACCCTCTCTGTTCCTGTAAGAGAAACGAACTGCCTGTACTTATCTCCCATTCAAATCCCGCCCCCCCATGCACTGTTGAAAATAAACTCTCCCTTTTGCAAAAAGTGAGCCGTGTGATTTGGTGCAATCTCGAGATGGTGGCGGCAATGGGCACAAAATAATCCCAGGCAAACCAACAGGGAAGCGGGAGCAGCCGTGAGCCAAGCGGCCGGGCTGCGCCGTGCCCCGCATCAGGCACATTTCCCTGAAAGCCCAAGCGAATCCCTCGCCGCTCAATGATCTTTATTTGGTCTGAACCCCGTCTGGGAAGTAACCGCTAAACCCAATGCAAACAGACCCCCGTGAAAGAATATAATGAATATGTCTCTCAAATGATTTGGAGCCCTTCTGCCTGCAGAGCAGGGTTCCCCATTGTGCCCCGCTCCCGGCGTGCTCGGGGCAGGCTGCGCGAGGTGGCCGCTTTCCCAGCTGAAATCCGAAAAAAGCAAACAATGGGTCAAGGCCGGCATTGTGCGAGCCCAGGCAGGCAGAAGGAGCGCAGCCCGGCATGGCCAAGTTCAAGGCTGGGCAGGGGGCCGGGCGCGCGGGGATGCTAATGGGGGCTGCGCGGGGGCCGCAGAGCAGGGGGGTCAGGGGCTCTGCGTGCCGTTATCCTGTGCAGCCACGAGCACCCAAAAACCACCTCACAGAGAGGCAAAGGGACGTGATTGCCCAGTGCAGCGAGGGGTGCTGGGGGCACTGGTGACACTGGGAAACTTGGGTTTGCTGGAGGGCTGACGGTACTTAGGGAGCTGGTGTTGCTGGGGGCGGGGTGGGGGGGTTGCTGTGAGTTGCAGGACTGGTGTTACTGGGGATGGACTGGTGTTATCGAGGTGGATCAGGGGAACTGGTGTTGCTAATGGGTATGACTGGGGGGACTGGTGCTGGGGGGGGGGGCGCTGCAAATGGGGATGATGGCAGAGTACAGGGCCCTGATAGTGCAGTGTGCATCCAGGGGGTGATCTGGGTTTGGGAGCCTCGCAGAGGACACTGCCTCTTTGGGTCTGCCCGGCGCTCCAGGCCCAAGCAGGGACCCCCCCCCACTCCCTCATCTCCCCGGCGCTCCCCCCTCCCCGGATGAAGTGTGCGGAGACAGGCGGAGCGCCCCGTGGAAAAACACCATGGAGGGCCCGCACAAAGGGGGTTTTATTCAAATTTGTTTAGAGTTTAGCGGATTTGCATGAAAAATGTGTGAGAAAAGCCGGCTCCAATGACCTCATCCCCAGCTGCCATTAATGTTCAATTAAGTGCTGAATAGTAGCAAAGGGGGGACCGGCCGGGACGTGCAGAGAATCCAGGCTCGGGCGCAGACTGTGAGAACCGGGCGGCCCCCCCGACCGTCTGGCCCCGGCCAGCCCCGACGGGGTCCCCCCGCCGCCGCCCCCCCTCCGCACCGGGAGGTGCGCTGAGCCTGTCGGGTCTCAGCCCGTCTGGGTTATTCCCCGGATCACTCGTATCCTGAAGCAAAGTGCCCCCCCGGCAAAGGTGGGTGTTTGGGGGGGGGGTAATGCCCCCTCACTGCGCCGCCGGGGCTGTTGTCACTCACCCCGCAGCCCGCCTCGCCCGGCCCAGAGCCGCTCTCCGCCTGGCAGACGGTGTCAAAGCCCAAGTTCAAGTCCACGCCGAGGGGCTCTGCCCCGGGATTCCCAGCTCCTTTCCATCCTCCGCCTTTTGTTCGCCTCTGACAATTGCTCTTTATTTCTTACACACCCCCAGCCTCCCCCCGGCGCCCCCCTCCCTGCCCGCACTTGGCACCGTTTAGCTGTCTGCCTGCAAACTTAACAACCCCAGTTCTTGGTATAAGCACTCAAATTATCCTTCTTTCTACATATAAACACGGCCCGGGGTGTGCGGCTCTCCCCGGCCGCGGGGTCCCCCCGGCGCAGCCCGGCTCCCCCGCACCGACCCCGGCCCCGGCCGGAGGAAGTTTCTGCTGCGGGACACGGCAGGAGAAAACGAGCCGGATCCAGAAGCCCCCGCTCTGCGGGGCTCCCCCGGGCCAGCGCTCAGGTAAGGAAACACACACCCCCATTTGCTTTTGGGGGGCTGCCTCTGCTGCGGGGCGTGATGACATAGCAGGTTCAGAGTAAAGATGGGGGGGTCTCTCTGCAAGGGTTTTCGCATACTCGGGCAAGCTGATGCGGAGCCCCGAGCTGGCCTCCCCCGGGGGTGCAGATCTCCCCCAGCCGGGGTGCGACGGGGACACTGCCTGGCGGGGGCAGCCCGAAAGCCAGGGGAGGGGGCCTTCCCAAACCTGCCTCTGCCCCGGCCTGCCTCTCTCCGCCCCCCTCGCGAGGGGAACACCCACACGGGGAGCGGGCCGGTGGGGACCCCAGCGGGCCCCGGGGGCTCCCGAGCACCGACATCTCCGGGTCCGCTGCCCTCCGGGACGGGGCTTCGGGGCAAAGCCCGCGCCGGGGGTCAGCAGCAGCATCCCAGCTGGGTCACACCTCCCTCTGCACAGGTGTGATCCATGGGATTGGGGAGGCCATAGGATGACTGGGAGGGGGCTGTGTGACCCCGCAAATAAACCCCCTCCCAGCACCTGCAGCTGGGTAGTGCTGGAATAAACTGGGGTAGGGCGGGTCCGGGGTCATCGGACAGATTTGGGGGTTCGGCTGATTTTTTTTTTTTTTTTCCCCGAAGACAATTTCGGGTGAAGAAGGAGGCGTAAACACAAACACTCCCACACCTTTCGCTGTTAAAACAGAGATAAAGGACGAAAGGAACGAACACACCTTCTCTGGGGAAAGGAGCAAGGTTTGGGACGGGGGAAAAGAAAGGAGGGGATAAGAGGCTGAGAAAACACAGGGAAGAGGTGGGATACCGGGTGGGGAAGCAGGAGGGGATCCCCCCAAACCCGTCCTCGAGCCCAGCGCAGCGAGGCGGGTGCCCTTCACCAGCGCCTCGGGGCGGGGCGGCCCCGCGGACGGGGACACCGGGGGGCCGTGCCGTGCCTCGGGACCGGGGCTGTCACGTCGCATCGCGTCACGCAGCATCTTGGAGTATAATACAAAGCCATAAATTATAGCTTAACATAGAATATATGTGTTCTATACATATATATATGGAATGGAGCGTATATTCTATTGCATTGCAGACGTGAGCCGTCCCCGGGTTTCCCCCGTCCAAACGGCCCCTTGAAGCGTGTGTGTGTGGGGTCACGCCTTGCTGTGCCGAGGGTGCGCTGGAGTCGCAGCAAGATCTCCTCCCCTCTCCCCAAAACAGAGTCCTGCGCTCCCACAGGCGTGTTTAACAATAGCGGCGTGGGCGCACCTCGGGGCCGTGGGAGAGGCCGCGCTTTTGTTGTTTTTTGTTTTGTTTTTTTTTTTTGGTGGCTATTTAAAAAAACCGGCACCGGTGCCTATGTCCGTCCTTTCCGTGGGCCCGCACGCGTGTGTACACACGGCTGCATCTCCCTGCTAGTGTCCTCACCCCCCTCAGCAGATGAACCAAAGGCGAGCCCCTCCGGGGAGCCCACCCGCGGCTCTGCGCCCATGGGGACCTCGCACAGCCGTCACAAGTTGCTGGGGTCTCAGCACCCGGGCAGGTGTTGAAGCCCCCAGGAAGGAGGGAAAAGACTTTTCCTCCGGTCGGTGGGAAATAAGAAATACCCCCGCTCGTGGAAACCGCCAGGATTTGGCTCTGGTTGTGGGGAAGGCAGGATGGAGAGGTGAAAAGAAGGGATGGAGGCGAAAAAGGGATGTAGCGGGAGAGGGAGAGCAGGAGGAGGGGATGGAGAGATGGAAGGGGAGAAGGACAGATGGAGGGATGGAGGGGGAGAAGGAGGGATGAAGGGTAGAAAAGAAGAAATGGAGGTTGGAAGAAGGGGGATGAAGGATGGAAAAGGAAGGATAGAGATGTGATAAAGAGGGATGGAGGCGAGAGAAGGAAGGATGGAGAGGGAGAAGGAGGAATGGAGGGTGGAAAAGGAGGGATGGAGGGGGGAAGGAGAGATGGAGGGGGAAGGGTGCCGCGCCCCCGATTGGCTGCCTAAGCACAAAATCCGGCGATGGGTTTGCGGGAAGGGGGCGCGGATGGGCCGGGGGCTGCTGGGGGGCAGAATTAGGCGCTTGGGCGGCTGCAGGGCCCCCCCGGCAGCCATTTTGTGGCAGTACCTGCCGTGGTGCCAGGGCTGGGCGGCGGGGCTGGAGTAGCGCCCTGCCCGGCCCTGCCCTGCCCGGCGGGGCCGTGAGGGGCTCGGGGCGGGGGGAGGCCTCCACGCCACGGTGGGAAACGTATTACCGCGCCCGCCACGCTTGCCCATTGACAGAGATAAACATGCAAATGAGTCGCTTTGCATGTCATTAGCATACAGGCAGATTGCGGGGGGAGGGGCCGCAGTGTGCGCACTGCAGCGTGCTTTAATGCAACACCCAAACAGCCATTGCGGGTCTCTCCCGCCAGCAGCACCTGCGGCTCCCCGCGCCCCCCGCCGCGGACAGTGGCACCCCATCACCCTCTGTCATCCCCCGACCCGCCAAGCGGCCGCCCTTGGCTGTCCCTCCGGGTACCCGGGTCGCCCAGCCCTGCCTGGGACTGCAGGGCACAAAGACACACAGGAGTAAATAAAGACAAACCTCGGGCAGTGTTCTTTTGGGGCTATTTCTGGTTTTTTTTCCACCTATTTCTATATTCTTTCACCTGGTGCAGAGAAGGGAGTGGGTGGAGGGCCCTCGGCCACCGCCTCTTGCAGCCCCGCTCCGCCGCCGCCTTTAATTCGTGGGGTGGGTGGAGTGGGGAAAGGGAGAGAGAAAATCGGTGGATTTGGGGAGGGAAAATGTAGGGAGGGAGCATGGCTCGGGCTGAGGGGTCCCCGCGGCTCCCGGAGCTGGGGGGCGGCCGGGGTGCAGCCTATGGGGGTGCGTCTGTAGACGACGTGTGTGAACCCCATGTCCGTGTCCGTCTGTGGACATGGGCGTGTCCGCGACCTCTGCATGTGCCGCACACGCGTGTTGCATCCCCGAACCGTGCCCGGGCGGGTGTGCCACGCTGCGGGGAATCTACCTGGGGGGCTGTAAGTGGGATCTGTGTGTGTCCCGCACACGCGTGTGTGTACCCGAGT